CGGGGGGGGGGGGCACAGCAGCCACGGAGAGAACTGGGCCCCCACGCAGCTCAGGCAGGCAGTCAGGCTCCAGGAGGTTAGGGGGAATCAGGCTCACAGCTTTTCTTGGGCAGAGCTTGATTTTCTGGGCTACCACCAGGCTAGCAACAGAGCTTTCCGCGGAGCCCCTGAGCTGTGCAGAGCCCAGTGCTTTGCTCCATGGCTGTAGGGGCAGCAAACTAAAACTCATTGAAGGAGTTTTAGTTTGTTGCACCCCATGTCATCTAAGTTGTATTAGGCCACCAAATTTCCTACTGCAGCTGGAATGAATGTGCAATACACCACCAAGGTATGCAAACACCAACACCATTAAAGCTGTGCAAAAGCATTTAGCTGACTTTAAAGTGTCATGAACATATGCCCCTCATTTCATCTACACACGGCCAATGATACCATCTCAGCCCAGGCTTTCCCTAGCTGGGTCTTAAAATCTCCAAGGATGGAGATTCCACAGCCTCTATGAATAGTCTGTTCCAGTGCTTTACTACCCTCTGGCCTTGTCTACAAGAGGTGCTAACTGTGCAGTAGCTTGTTACTACTGCACAGTAGCACCATGTGGCAGGAAACGCGATGCAACGCTACTGCACAGTAGTAACAAGCTCCTGTACAGTCAGCATCACCTAAAAGCCGTTCAGTGATGCTGTACAGTAACTCCAATTATTGCACAGTCATTTCGTACTTGTTTATACAAGTATAAAATGACTGTTCAATAATGACTGCACAGTCAGCATCCCATGTAAATGCAGCCTCTGAGTGAGAAGGTTTTTCCTAATATCTAACTAAAACTTTCTCTGCTGCAACTTGAAACCATTGCTTTGTTTTGTCATCTCCTACCACTGAGAACTGTCTAGCTCCATCCTCTTTGTAACAACCTTTCAGATAGTTGAAGACTGTTATTAAATCCCCTCTGGGCATGTCTACATGAGTCATTTACTGTCCTATTAGGGCACATGAAACTAATAAACTCTGCAGCAGACTGTATTTATAAGTCCTACCCTACTGTGGAGTTTTTTTCATGTACAGCAGCGCACATGTAGATAATGACCAGCTGGCTGGGGCACGAGGGTGCTTCAGCGCCAGGACTGAGAGCCAGCTAAAGCACCCTCACTGCCCCAACCAGTCCCTCTGCAGCACATTGAGCCCAGTTGGAACAGCCCCAGGCTGGCAGGATGACCCCCTGAGCTCCTTGCAGCTGGGGCTGCTGTGACCTGGCTCAATGTGCTGTGCTCCAGGCACACATACAGATGCATGCCCAGGAGCAATAAACTGCAGAGCAATCTGCAGCTTACTGCTGCCCCCTAGGCCACATCCAGACAAGCACAGCCATGCAGTATGTGGCACTGCAGACCCATGTGCAGCAACACACACTGCACATTCAGGCATTGCCTCAACTACTACCTTGCAGTGTGGGGGTATTTTTTGACCTGTGCAGACAAAAGCCGAGTGGCACATGTGATGTCAGTGCACACTGCCCAAAACCAGAGCCTGGCCACCCAGAGCCATGCTCCAGCTGGCAGCCAGACTCCCAGCTGCAGAAGTGCTGCAGATGCAACTTCCACAGTCCCCAGGACCCCAGGTAAGGCTTCCCCAGGTAAGGCCAGCACAGTTGCTAGTCCCAGCCTCTCCTACCCCACCCAGGGTAACCTGCAGCATGGCACAGGCATTCCCTGGGGACAAGTAGCAGTGGCACAAGGCGTGCTGCTGCTACTCATCCCCAGGGAACCAAATGTCCATGCTCACCTCGACATGGCCCAAATGACACATGTAGATGCGTTCTCTCAATCTTCTCTTCTCCAAACTAAATAAACCCAGTTCTTTCGTCCTCTCCTCATACATCATATGCCCCAGTCCCTTAACTATTTGACTAGCCTTTAAAATGCTGAAGTGCAAAAATAATGGTTCTGAATTTTCTTCAGTAATGTTATTCAAGAAGACAAGCTGAAAGACAATATTATTCAAATCTTTACCTGGTAGCTGGCCTCTGAACAGAATATTTTTGTTCCTTTGTCTCTGCCTTACTAACCTGAATTATCGACAGTAACAGGAACTCATGGCATTGAACATACAGCTATACAGGTTACATGCCCAGCTCTCGTTGATTTTATCCATTTAGACTTTGAAAATTATCATTGTGATTGCTATAGATCTTGGGCATTTAAACCCTAAGTTGGGCCCTCCTATTTCAGAACTTAAGAAAGAATGGTAAGTGGAATGGAGTCGAAGTGGAGTAGAAGTTTACCGTGAATTAAAGAAAACATTGCTTCATGGATGCCAAGTCACTTCTGCTTCGTAAGGGGAAGCCGTAATAGGAGAATTCACAGCTAGGCATTTCCTGTCCCTGTTTTCCTCTATTAACTTCTAAATAAGGAAGTGGTTCACAAGAAGCTTGGTACTTATGGTATAAAAACTTTGCAGGCTTTTTTCCTATTTTTGATATGTGATCTACAGGAATTGTCACAAGCAGTGTGAACACAATGCATTGTTATTCAACAGTCCAGGTGCTTTGGCCTGGATTGTGGGGATAAATATAAATGACTCCTTGTGGAGCTATGGCAAAGTGATGTTTCACAACTAGTACTCAGCATTCTGCTCAGACATCCCATGGTGCTTTGTTCCACTTCTGTACTGTCCAGCTTCTCTCTCTCTCATGTTGTACATTATGCAATACCTACCAGAATGCAATAGAATTCAGAGGCTTGGGACAAAATATTCAGTTTTCATATTTTCTCTTGTTTCATTCCATCAGTTTTGTGTGAGCCAGTGCCAGTTCCAAAGCAGTCAGGCAGGAAGGAGGAAACATGAGGGAACTCTATGAGTCTTGTGGGGATTAATATAAATATGCTGCCCCAAGTGTATCTAAAGTCATTCACTTATTTCAACACCACAGAAAGTAGAGCACCAGAGATGAAAGAGACTTAAATTAAGCAGATACTTCTTTAGATCTTTTCTCAGAGCAGTTTCACTCAGGAGAGTACCACTTTGAGGCTCAGTCAAATAGCAATGCTTACTCATATGGCATGGTGAGACACGTCTGGCGTGAACAGCAGTGGCTGCAAAACTGCAGGATGTCAAAAGCCACTTTCCTACCTATGCAAAGTGCATTCTGCAGCTGCAGTAGTGGAACACCTGCATGTAAACCCTCAGCAGATGCGTATGGACTTTACAATCACAAACCCATCCATGGAATACCCCAGAGCCCTGCATTTCTCTCTGCTGTCCAGCTGCTTGTCACAAAGGTTTGTCCTAGGATAACTTCTTATTCCCATAAAACTCAGGTCCACAGCCCTTTACAGGCCCTCACAGCTACAGCAGGGGGATCTCTGCCAGCTAGAGGTGGTTTTCCATTGTGTTATGAAAGAATTTTTACATCCCCCTTTCCTTAGCATGAGTTACCCTGGAATTTCACTCACCCAGAGATCATTCTTCAACACAGGCAATCAGTAAGGAGACAAAATAACAAATTGACTTTCTATATAGCAGAAAAAATAATATAAGCAAAACTGGCCATTAAGTTTGAAGACAGAACAAAAAGACAAGATAAGTTTCATACCCTCTCATCTAGCTACAGACTAGGCTTTTTCAGAAAAGCCTACCAGGATTTTCAAATATCAGCCATTCTGCTGACCCTGCCAGTTCTGACTGCTGGAGACTTGGATCCTCCTACAGCCTACATGAGACACTACTGATCAGTAGCAACGACCTATTGCACAGTAGCTTGTTGCTACCGTGCAGTAGCATTGCCAGCCACTAACCATGTGGTGATGATACTGCACACATAGTGCACATTAGCATTGGAAAAAAAAGTGTGGTGGCAGTAGTGTGCAGTAATGCCAGTTACTGCATGGTCATTTAGTACTTGCCTACCGACCACTGTGCAGTCCCCCACTCATGTAGACATGGCCAGAAACTCCAAAAACCAGGACCACCTCACAGATAGCCCTAAAATATCTAGAAATGGCCTTCCCTGCCCTCATCAGCATTGTCTTTATTGCTCATGGGTCTCAGAATTCTCTAGGTAATGGGCCATTTTGCTCTGATACCCCTTCTGTTATGGGATTATTTTTCCCTGTACAAGCAGACAATGCCTTGGATATCAATCCCACTAGAGGCCCCTTCTGCCATTTGGAGTGGCAATTGTCCTTGCCCTACTTACACAATGGCAAGAAATACTTAGCAGTTTAACCTACTTTCCTTTTCAAATATGCAACTCTCTGAGTTCCTTTGAGTAAACAATGTCCGAAAACATAAAGATTTATACAGACAGCATAACATAATCCATACAGTGATAAAAGTAACGTAAATGATACAGCATAACATTGGGTTTTCAACAAGACCACACACAACATATCAGTAAAAAAGACACAATAAAACTTGAACAACACCCTGTGAAGATCCCAAATTTTGGTCGGGAATCTTGCCTCCCCTGACTGCTACTGCCCAGTAGCTGACAAATTCAATCAAATGTCAAGGCAACTGAGGTGCTATCAGTAAAGTAGTGCTGCTCTGAGTCCAAATGTTGTACAATGTACTGGGGGATCCCAGTAGATTTGCATAGTTGTGGTTCCCAAATTGGACAGAATTCACTGACTGGGCTAGTGTCTATTCCTTGTCTTCAACAAAAGCCTCTGAGGTCATCAACATAAAAGAGTATTTCTCACCAGCATTACTATTAGGAGATATGAAATAGTCTATGATACCAAAATCTATAGAAACTCTGGAGTACTTTTTTGTTTTGTTTGTGGAACAATGGACAATGATAGCATTGCTATTACTTCAGTTGTTTTGGGATACCTAATCTACCTTCTGCTTCCCTGGCTGATAACACTTTTTATTGGATATTTGAATAGGAAAAAGGAATGATTTAATTATAACTTATTATTGTCATACATAATACGTTTTACTAAACTTTTTAGGGCTTTTTTTTACTGTAGTGAAAGTTAGGGTATTATCAGAACATGCATATGTGTTTTATAACAATAATGATTCTGGATTTTAATTCACTTGTGCAAAACTGAAAACCATAAATATAAAGACATCTACAATGTTTCTTTAAATGCACAAGAATATACTAAGCTGAACGTTGTGAACAGTAAAAAAAAAAAAAAAGGCCGAGTTTTCCTAACAGTATGCAAAGATAAACCATGCAGACAATGGTCCAGATTTGTGCCTTAAGGTCAAGTAGTCAAATGTCTTGGCCTTTTCATCCTTCCCAGCATCCTTTTGACTTCAAATATCTACTTTACATTTGACTTGCTGATGCCTCTCATTAATAAAAGTCATGGATAGCCATATTGATCCAACGAGGTGATCCAGGTAGCCAGTGATATCTTCTCCCCTTGGTCACATTTTTTCTATGGGGAATGTGAAAGAAACAAGTTATTATCCAAATTGTAATCTCTATAGCAGGTATAAAATTTCCCCCCTCAGTATTCAACTTGCATTTTCATTGAATTGGAATGAGTCCTGGGTGAGCATAGAAATGGTAAGTCATTTTCCTAGTCTCTGGACTAGAACATTTTCCTAGTTTCTGGATGTTTCAGCCAATTTATAACTTCTGAACTGTGCTGATAACTTACAGCCATTCCGATTCTTTTTACTTCAACTGTCCTTAAACTGACCAATAGCAGTACAAGCCTTGCATTACTTTGAAAAGGTTAATTTTAACTACGCAACAGGGCCTTACTACTTCAAGGCTGTGCTAAATTTACTAGGCCTTACTTCATCTTAAACTTTAATTAGGCTCTTAGCAACAACATATAGCTTAATATCTAAACAAATGACAGAAAAACACTTGGTCAAATCTTCATAGAGCCTTCAGCAAACACCTTTATCACACAGACATAATTTTCAGCTGTCACAGGACCATACAGAAGCTTGAGACATGACTCAGAAGCATTACACAGGTATGTGAACCTCAGCTGAAATGGCAAATGATTGCACCTGACTACACAGCAGAATCTAACTCAAGCAACAACTGGTTTGGATAATTCCTGAGCAATAGAGAACAGCACACATAAATGAAAATGTTAACTCAAATAACCAGGAAAAGCAGTGTGGGACACCAGTTGCAGGACTTAAGCCACGTTCAGCAGTTATTCTGGGATGAAGATTTATCCCCATATCTCAGTAAAGCCACTTCCAAAGTGGGTTTAAAATGCCAAATATGGCCAAATTAATAAATTATTGTGATGTAAAAGAGGAGCTTGCAAGGACTTACCATGCTTCAGCTGTTGTATGCTATCTATGTGTATCTTTTTACTGCACAGTAAGATGAACTGTGATAGTTTAGCACTTGGTAAATTGCCTCAAAGAAAGGTGGCTAAGTAGCATTAAAATGCTGTGTTTTTCATGCAAGTATTTGCATATGCAAGACACTTCATTGTGAAGCAAGTTAAGCTACACATTTCAAGAGTGGGCAAGATCTTACAAAGGATGCACTATTACTTGACCACTGGATGAGCATTTACAACCTCACTGAAATTTTCAGTTGACCAATTCCACTCACATTTTGAACTCAGTCATAGGCAGTGTTTCAAATTAGCTTTTCAACCATGCTGCGGATCTGAATTCCACATTAAGTTGATCCTGCAGGTGCAGCATTGCATGCTTGCAAGGTGAATAGTAATGAACACATCAGAGAGCCCAGGTTCCTGCTGGTGAATTAATGGGAGCAGAACTACAGCCTAAGAGGCACTATTTAGCTTAAGCCCTCCTTAACATAATGAGAATTGCTTCTCTATTCAGACACACCCATTTTTCATCAGTGCCAGGCCCCTTTTCTCCTTGTGCTTTTCAGTGTAAGAATGTAGGCAAGGAGGATACTTGAGACAGCTCAGAATGAAAGATGACACCTCATGTGTAACCTTACTTGAACCTCTGCCTGCACTTGTGATGCAGCACAACAGCTTTGCACTCTGGTACACGGGCAAGAACTTGCAGGTGTCAGGTTGTGCAGTACCTGACATCCACTTTGTACCACAGGAAAGAAGTGTTTGCTTATTTTAGTAGCTACTCAAGGAAAGGACCCATTCCCAGAGGCACTCATTATGGGATTAGGGCTCAGGCATGAGTTAGGGCTCTGATATGTTGTTGCCTCTTTTCAACAGTTCCTGAAAAAGAAGTTCCTGCCAAAGCATAGCGTGAAGCAGGTTCTTCCTTTGTCAGAATATGCAGAACATGCTGATGGGATCCTGCTTTCAGGTTCTAACTTTGAACTGCGGTCCCCTCTCTCCACCGCTCCCAGGCCTTGCTCTCTCTACTTACATGAGAGCTTCTGAGTTTAAATGGTGAGAAAAATCTTCTTTTCTCTCATTTCTCATCTTTCATTTCTCTGTTTTTTTCTCATGAGTGGACAGCCATTATTTCTTACAAAACCTCAAAAGTCTAAGAATAGCGAGTATAAATATAATATAATAATGAAATAAAAGGAAAGAGATCTAAAAGTTGTAACCGTAGAAATTCCAGTGTTTTTTTCTTCCCAAATTTAAGGTACATGATTATAGTTGTCTATAGCGTTTACTACATTTTGTAAATTTCTGCATTGTTTCAGGCAGGTAAAATGAGGTGTGTAAAGCCTACCTATTATAGAATATGAGTCAAATTCACTCATGGTTGACTTAGCCAGAAATTAAGTGCCACCCAATAATTTTATAAGACAGGACTGTGTAAGTTCTTACATTAGTAATCCTTATCTCCTATGACATTCCTAAATGAAGTATATTGATCTCTAAATAAAGATTACTCATGGAAAGGTTTTCAGAATTGGGACCATACATAGTGTTTGTTTTGCAAATATTGACCACCTAGCTAAGGTTTGCTTGAAAACCCTATTTTATTTTAGTTCCATAACAACTTGTAAATGAACGCATAACTTCCAAACCAGACCTTTTGCTGTTTCTTCATTACTTGTGCTATATAGTGCTTTGCAGTTCCCATCTGTGCAATTTCCTTTTATTAATGTACAAACAAAACATGATGAATTAAACATGTGATTGCATGTACTTTTTGGCAAGCATCAAAGATGAGGTAATTGAAGACAGTTATTATTTCCAGCTGTACAGTGCTAGTACATAGTGACAAATAATACCAGTGAGCGTAAAAAAGGTGTTTTGGTTTTAACAATACTGTCCTTTTAGCATCCAAACTCAATAATTTAGACAAATGATTTCAAATGATAGCATTGTCATATACAGCACCATCATAGATGATTTAATCTTTTCTGATATGAAAGAAGAGAAAGAGACTCAAAAATAATAAGTTTATTATAACTAGGTAGCAGAATAACTAGATCATATACAAGTCCTCAAGGTAAATATATTTCCAAAAAGTAAAAAACCCCTAAAAAACATTTCTTACATAAATAAAACTCTTCTACTTTGTTAGAAAATGGCTAAATTGTAAGAAAATAATCACAATTAATACAAGTTAAAAAAATCTTATAAGGACATAACTTCACCATATTTCTAAATGGCAGTTTTAATGTAGTGTCTTCAAGGTCTTCAATACAGTCCTCTGTTCCTCCTCCAACCCAAGACCACCTTTGCTAGGTAATCATTGTTTCCTTGCTGGTCCTTTGTCTGCAACTTGTCTTCTCAAGTTATATCTCACTCAATAAAATTCTTCTCAAAAATTGTAATTTCATCACTTAACTGAAGGCTCGCTCCTGAAAGAATTCTCACCCTACCCAAATCTGAGACTCCAGAGCCCCCTTTTTTGATTCAGCCACACACCTAACTTAAACAATAAATATAGGCTAATTTATGATAGTGCTAGGACAAAAGTGTGACTCCCACCCATCATCTTTTAAGGTTTTAAGAACCCTTTGTATAAATAATGCATTAAGGAACTTGAACATGTTATTTTAAATAGCATGGTGGGGGTTTTTTTAGTAACTGTAATACTCAATTTATAATTTAAGGTGACATCAGTGAGAGCAATCCACTGAGATATTAAACTAGATGTACTTTGTTTATGATGCAGAGGAATCAGAAATAAAAAACAAGCTCTTAAATTTGATTCCACTTTTAACACCACTGGCTTTCCCATTGTTTAGTGTATGGAAAATATTGAACCTTATTTTAAAAACTAAACTAAGCATAGCATAGCATTCTACTGTAAACATTCAAAATATTCATCTGCTATAAAATATTACAGTTAGTTCTACTCTTATTAGTGCAATTCCCAGAAAGATCTTGGAAAATTAAATCCCAAAATTGAGGCATACAAATTAACACATCTGAATATATTGCCCCTCATAGTCAGCACAATCTGCAAACACTCACTATTCAGCAAAACACAATCATATTCAAAACGTAAAGCAAGAAAGAATGCTTACATCATCTATTTTCACTTCCTATATATCACAAGCTCTTAAATTTCCTGCAGTTGCTCCTGTATTGAAACAATAGCTTCTGTTTGGCTACAGCATCTCTTAAAAACATCCAGAGAGAGAGAGTCTACTACATTCCTGAAAGCTTCTTCCATTGTTTAAAATCTGCTCCGTTAAAAACGTGTGTCTTATTTCCAATTGCTGGTTGTTTGGCTTTAGCTTCCAGAAGTTTACCCTTTGTGTATCTTTTTCTGTTAAACTAAAGAGCTCGTTCATAACCAGTATTTTCTCCCTGTGCAGATACTAATATATCATAAGTTGTCTTACTGATAAGATAAAAGAAGGAAGAGTTTTGTGCGATAGCTTTTATTGGACAATGCATAACTGGGAGAGGTGTTGGACAAGTTTTTGGGCATCAAGGGTATCTATACATGTACCTGGCGCTTGCTCCAACACATGTTAACTAGCAGGTGTTGGAGCATATTCAATTAATTCGATTATGATCTTGAAATCAGTCGCATGAAATTCAAGGCATAAACTTTAATATTAACTCATGAGCAGCATGTTCATGACCAAAAATCTAGTAGAAGGAATAAATCTTTCAGCCCTTACTCATGTGAATTGTCCCATTGACACCACTGTTACTATTCAAATAAGAATATAGGATCAGGCCCTGTAAATGTGGCAGTCTTAAAATGTTAAAGTGACAGGTTTCAGTTCATCATACCAGCTTAAGTTTAAGCACATTAATAAACTGATTCTTCTTCAGCAAAGCATTTAAGCACATACTTAACTGAATACATGAGACACTGCAGGAGCTCTAATTAGAGTGGCTCCTGAGAACCTCTCTAAGTAAAACACTTCCCCTGCCCTCCCCCGCCCCCTTCCAGGAGCATGTGTAAAGACACCCCAAGTGTCCTTCCTTAGGAACAAGTTTAATTATTTCAGTCACTTACTGGAAAGCCCCCTCTACACATTACCAGTATTGTGCAATTAACTGGTTAATTCTGCAATTCCCAGGAAACCACTTATATAATGCAAAGTAGCTATCATGCCATAAAAAGCTCCAACCAGCTATAAAGTTAGACCTCAAAACTATGTACTAACCTTATAGCTGGCTTCTATCAGGCTTTAATTTGCATGTGTAGTAGGGTGTCCCCTGTGGCTGGGAATCCCATAAGCTGACAGGGCTTCCAGCTGCAGGGGTGCCCCATGCCTATTATAAAACCCCCAAGCCCTAGAGATCTCAGTAGCTGTGATTCCCAGTGTCCAAGGGTTTCCCATACCCCTGAGCCCTAGGGATCATGGCACCTGCAATCCCCAGAGTTCAGGGTCCAAATCTATGGACCCTGGGCATCACAGCTGTTTTGATCCCTAGGGCTCCGGGGTGCAGAAAACACCCAGGCCTGGAGGATCACTGCAGGGGTGATCCCCCAACCCTGGGGGTGTGGGAAACCCTGGAGGCCAGAGGTTCACCATGATCCTCCAGCCCTGGGGGTTTCCCCACATCCCAGGACAGAAGGGAATTGTCCCTGTAGTGATTCCCCTCCACACCCCCTTGCCCCAGGGGTTTCACACACTACCAGGGTGGGGAGATCACTGCAGTGGTGATAGTCCAGTTGTGGGAGCATGTTGGATACCCCCATGCCTGGGAGCCCTTCACCTGGGATGCATGGAGCTCCCAGCTATGGGAGCTTGCTTCTTGCCTTGGATTGGACTCCTTCTGCACCGGCTATAAGGTCCAATGGGATCTAATGTTCAATCCCACAAACATGCCTCCTGCCATGATGTGTGGCATGGGAGGAGGTGCAATTGTGTAATCATGTATTAGATCCCATTGTGCTTTTACCTGCATGTGTAGAGAGGGTCTAACGAGATATTTGCTCCAGCCCTCAAATCATATCATGGCTCTTTCTTACATTCGCTGCAATTTTCATCTTTTTTTTTAAACATGGATACCAAAAGTGGATGCAGTAGTCTTGTATAAGTCTTAACAAGGCTACATAAAAATGGTACATAAGGTAAGGCATACTTTTTAGGTATGTTCTTAATGTCCATCGGGTTAAATGGGACAGAAACATTTTTTGTTACTTATCTGAACTCTGGGCTGAACATTAAAAATAAAGTTTACCATTTTTAATGACTTTCATTACAAGCTTTATCTTTCATACTTATGAAATATATGAATAAACTAGAAAAGACTTGTTTTAAATGTCTAGTGAATCAAATAAAATTACTGGAACATTCAAATGTGGGAGGTGGAGGTTAAAATAGTGATTATGTGCATTTTTTCTTCTTTTGCATCTACCTTTAGATTGATAGTAGCAGCACTAAAGGTTACAACATCACAGTGAACATGTCTGGCCCTCAGACTGCCACTTAAAGCTGTAAAAGCTGTCCTTTAAGGATCTGTATGTCTCTGAGTCTTCACAGGTATGTGTGTAGATGACTATGGAGGTGAACCAGAGTTCATCCAGTGATTCATCTTCAAAGTGTTTATCCTGTGCAGGGTCATTTTTGTCCTTTTCAGTAGATGCAGTTTCAAATATTGATCTAAAATAGCTATATTTGTTAAAAAAAAAAAAACAACCCCCACCAAACCCCCCATAGATTACCATATCATAATGTAATTATTTACTCTACAAACATAAGAGCAGCTCTAACAAGCTTGTTCAGAACTGAGATCCTGAATTAGTCAAGCAATTAAGTTTAAGTTCCAAAGTGAAGTATGTGCTTAAATGCTTTGCTGAAGAAGAATCTGTTTATTAATGTGCTTAAACTTAAGCTTGTATATGATGAACTGAAACCTGTCACTTTAACATTTTAAGACATTGCCACATTTACAGGGCCTGATCCTGTATTCTTACCTGAATAGTAATAGTGTCGTCAATGGGACAATTCTCATGAGTAAGGGTTGCAGGATTTATTCCTTCTACCAGATTTTTGGTCATGAACATGCTGCTTATGAGTTAATATTAAAGTTTATGCCTTGAATTTCATGTGACTAATTTAAAGGTCATACTTCTTAACTGTTGCAAATTTTTGCCTATGGAAC